TTGATTTTTCACTGCAGGACTCATGGTGTCTGGGAAAATATCTGAATAAGTGGTGCATAACAGAGTGAAAAAAAAACATAATACTAAAATATATAGTTGCACAAAATAATATTTAATAAATATAAATGAGATATTGATTGTTGACTGTAATATGAAAATGAGCCAAAATTTTAATGCGCGCTGTGAACATCTTGAACAGATGTCTCAGATGTTCTACATAAGTGTTTCTAAGTGTTTTGATGAACGAAGAGATTGACATCCAATAAACATAATAACACTCAAAATAGTGTAGACCAATGTTTAACCACAATGTTTATATGTGATTTTAATGGAAATCATATCCCATGTAGCTGTATAGTTACAATATAGCATTTTGTCCATATTGTGCAGACCTACTCAAGAAACTCTGGTTTGAGTCTGTGAAATAATATCCCATTTGTTGTGTTATCAGGAAACACCAATGAAGATGAATGGGATTTATATTAAATCAGTGATCCCGGGGTCTCCTGCAGCTCTGAGTCAGAGACTGAGGCCAGGAGATCGACTTCTGGCGGTGAATGGCCACGGATTGGTTGGCTTGGACTACCACACGTGAGTTGACTTATACAAAGTCACTCGAATCACGATTATAAATTTAAGATGTGAATAAAATCCATTAATTATAAAATCAATTTCTGCAGCGTGAGGAATTATTCATCACTGTAAAGCCTAACACAGTGGTTATTATTGTCTCATCTAGCGGCAGGGAGCTCATTCAGAAGGCTGGAGACCAAGCTCAGTTGCTAGTTGCCCGGACTGAAAGAATGCACGAAGACACAGTGCCAAAACGCTGAGCGTGCCAACCCGTCTCTTCCTGACACACGAGTGCACTTTGAAGCTGTTCTGCGAAAATGGAAAGATTTTATTCTCTAAGTTTTTGTGTGAAGACACCATTTTAAACATGTTTTATAACACTATTGTGGTGTTTTATGAACCAATGCTTATTCCTTTTATATCATTTTCCTTTTATATCATTTTTACATCATTTTTATAATCTGTTTAACATATGGCCACCATATTTGCAGCAAAAATGATTATTAATTGATCAATGTGCCTAAATAATAATAAAAAAAACCAGGACATTTCATTTGCATTCATTCTGAAACATCAAAACAGTAAATTCTCATCAAACAATTTTAACGTGTTACTACTTTTTTAAGGTTGTGTGAGAGATCTTGGGATCTCTGTTCCACTTTCCTTTTCTTATTCGGACTCAAGATGTAAAGGATTAGGGGGGAGATGGAGGGAGAGAGGATGGATGTGAAAAGAAAAAGGACAAAGAGAGGCATAGTGAGCTGGAAAGCTGGAAATTGAAAGAGAAAGCGTGTCAGAGAATGACTGTGCTTTGGAGAGAGTGTCCTTGCTTGTTATTCACTTATTCATCTCAAAGCACAAGTAAGTAGGAGTTCTGGGAGTTTAAGGCGTACCTATGAACACTCCAAGGCTAGAACTGCTGTCCAGTAATGTCTACTGTGCGCTTCATGGTACCATCATTATGAGTTTACATGGTATGACAAGAATATACAGTATCGTGATGGGCTTGTAAACTAGTCTTTGGATAATATTACAAAAGCCAATTGATATAAAATGTTTTATTAGAATGTTAGAATGGTGTGTTTTTATAGCACATTTTTACAGTGTAAATTGTCTCACAACAGCTTTACATTTATCATTTACTATCATCAGACATCACTGCTGTAGCAATTTAGTCTTATTTACATTTGTAAACCCTAAGGCCTGCTATCTAGTACTCTCAGGAAAACAATGCAAAGTGATTAACCTAACATTACTTTATAAGAATAGGAAGTGGAAACACCGACAACTCTTCCTTGTGGAGTAGAGACCCAGAAATGGGAATTCATCCTTCTATTTCCAGCACTGAGTATAGTTAGTTATTTTTACATTTAATAGTTTAAGGATTATAGTTTATATCTTAGTTGCTTAGCAATAAAGAGTAGTATAAGAATAGTCTAGTTACTGGAATCATTAAACTATAGTAAAAGATTTGTCATAGTTCAAACAACAGAAACCAAAGGTAATTTTTTTTTGTAAATATCCTTTCGTCGAGACTGTGGACGCCCTTAGTCTTCTGCAAGATGAAGAGTCAGTGTTATCCGTATTATTATTATAATCCGTATTTGGCCAATTTAAAGTTGTCTAAAGTTGTATAATTGATCATTAATAATGAGCCATAATTAATATTCCTTCAAGATCCTGAAGCCTGTGGCTTGGAAAGTGTACAAAAGATTTCAGACACTCTGGGGCTCGTGGGTGGAGAGCATGAGCCAACAGCTGGGTTTGTCTATGCAGTCTATAATAAGATCTACAATCATATTATCAAATTATTTCAAAGATACCTTAAGAAAACTGTTTGCAGTATTGGCAATGGATATGGCCAGGGTTTTTTGTTGTTGTTGATGTTGCTGTTGTTGTTTTTATGTATTATTTTTCATTTCAAACATTTTGTTTAGATTTTTCTGGCCCTGAAATTAGCTGCGTCATGTCATTTTAACTTCAGATGCTCAAGTTTTCAATGCTCAAGTATTGCTTATACAGTAAATAACCAGCTTGCATGCACGCTAGTCAGCATAGCCCTAGGCTTTTTAGCAGGAAGGTTGCATAGAGGTTCTATAACTTATGTAAATATTTCAGTTAAGCTGGTAGTGAAGAACAGCACAAACTACTGTTAATAGTAAATTTCCATTGGCAAACACTTGTCATAAAGTGATTTTGAGTCTTTCTTGTTACACAAGGTTTATACAAAATGTTTATACAAATGTTGAACCTGTATGTGCCATTTTGAAATACTATGAGTACCCAGTGGTACAGTACTAGTATGACAGACATACCATAGTAGCCATGGTACATTCATGGTTATACTATGGTTCTTATGCTGTAAATATGCATTGTTCTATCATCATGACCATGGATTTTTCACACTACTGAAAAACTATAGTAACTATGTTTTCACTCCAATAAAATGATGGGAGGCTATGCAGCAGGAGGCACTGTCATGTGTCTGTCCACAAACAAGTAGGGTATTTAAACAAATACTGTGTTATTCTATATTTGAAGGTGGGAAACAGTTCTGACGTACACTATATGGCCAAAAGTTTGTGGACACCTGACCATTACACCCATATGTGCTTGTTGAACATCCCATTCCAGATTTAGTTCATGCTTTGCTGTTACAATAACCTCCACTCTTCTGGGAAGGCTTTCCACTAGATTTTGGAGCATGGCTGTGGGGAGTTGTGCTCATTCAGCCAGAAGAGCATTAGTGAGGTCAGACGATGATGTTGGATGAGCAGGTCTGGGGAACTTATTCAGTGTTCCAGTTCATTCCAAAGGTGATCATTTGGCTTGAGGTCAGGGTTCTGTGCAGTCCACTCGAGTTTTTCCACTCCAACCTTGGCAAACCATGTCTTCATGGAGCTCACATTGTGCACAGGGGCATTGTCATGCTGGAACAGGTTTGGGCCTCTTAGTTCCAGCGATGGGAAATCTTAATGCTACAGCATTACAAAGTCATTCTAGACAATAATGTGCCTCTGACATTGTGGCAACAGTTTAGAAAAAGCCCACATATGGGTGTGATGGTCAAGTGTCCAAAACCTTTTGTCCATATAGTGTACGTTGACAATGGAAATGCAGTGCAGCATGAAACTGGGTTAAGACTGGACATGCTCATGCTCTTACTGTCTGTTTGCCAAGTCAGTCAAGACAACTGGGTTGCAACTAGGTTGGATTTTGTTTATTTATTATTCTACAGTGTGTCCCAGAGGTCTCCATATATAGGGGACTATGTAGCCAGCACTACGTCGGTTGTGCCTTTGTCAGTGGATGTTCGTGGACGTCCACTTCTCGGTTGGTCCGCAACACTTCCGGTCTTTTAGAATTTGTTGAAAGGTTTGGCAGCAGTTACATGTGTGTGACGAGTTTGCCATGTTTCCTGTTAAAGTCCATCGCAACCTTGTGACAGCTTCCAGATCCAGCCATGAGAATGATTTCAGTATGTTCTTCTTTTGTCAAAGGCATTCTTAAAGGCTATCTGAA